ATTGAATCTGTATTGGAATTATTTAAGATGTAATGTGTGGGGTCTTACACTTCTGCATATTTTTAAGCATCCGCAGTATAAAGGGCCTTAAAAATGTTTTCTACACTTTCCATATGAATAGGGTTTAAAAGGAACAACAAAGGATCCTGTCTCTTGCTGGTGCTGTGCCTATGTATTTCATAAGGTTTCCTGTGTTGCAAGAGTGAACACAATAACTGTCTAAATCACAAAAATGCACATTAAGAGTGGGCTCTGATTTTCAAAACCAGAATCTGGTTTTCTGAAGCAGAAAAGAAGCACTTTTTTGAAGGCCATAGGCCTCCCTGCCCACGAGCCACCAGATGGGAACATCTTGAGGGTGCAAATCCAGGGTACTCCATGAAAATCATCACATTTGCTCTTTGGCTTTCCTGTCCTGCTTAAATCTCTCTATAAGACCTCTTTCAACCCAGCCCCACCATGGTAACTCAGAGGATGCAATTAGCACTGGAGTCCTTAGTCACCTACCAGGCAAACCCAAACATGTGCTTCCAGTAGGGCTTTAAATAACCACCCAGGCTGGGGGCCCATTGTTTGATAGCTCTAATGTGAATGCTGAAAATAGGAGGTTTGGACAGGATTTCCACTTTTAGAGGAGTAGGAAATGAAATAATGTTTTAGAAAAGCTCTGTTTAGGGGTGTTTTGTCTCCATGTTCCTTATTTAATGAGAAACACTCTCACAGGTTTTGCTGCTGCCTTTTTAACCACACCCCAGGTCAAAGACACAGGTACCAATTAGGTGGCCAGGTCTAAGGCTGTACATTAATTTGTCTGCTAGTTACTTATAGGCTGGAAATCTCCACCTTTTCTTCTACTCATTGTTTTCATGGTTATTGTTTAGAGGAGTCAGTGTCTCATACTGATGCATCTCATCTCTTCAGGGATAATTACAGAGACACCAGAACCCCCTGTTTTCATTTTTTATTCTTGTGTCTTCCCCAAAGCAAGTTTCATTAAAGAGCCCAGTAAGGAATTCTTTAGTTCAAGAGTCATTGTCTCATTTAAAATAACTTCTAAAGTGTTTTTTTACATGAAGATTAGGAACACACTCTAACACAACAGAAGCAGTCACTGCACCTATCCCTATATAGACTGAAATAGTTTTTTAATTCTATGTTTTTTCTGCAATATGTTGGCACTTCTCAAAAAAGCTCCAAGTAGTGGGGTGTTTCCAAGCTAAATTCAAAGTAACTGAGGAGCAGAAGGAGAAATGGAGTAAAATGCAATGCGTGAGGAATTAAGGGGTGGGCTATTTGACTTTTATCACAGTTAAGCCAGCATATAAGTGACCTAATTTCATACTATGATGAAAAATAGATTATACATGAAGAGGAAAGGCCACATTAAGTTATTCTGTGCAGTCTGAGACATCAGGAAGGTAGAAGCACTGTCGTGTGTGTCAGAAGAGTTAAAATTCAAACTGGGATACAGCTGGATTATACCATTGTGGCAATGTTCAGTATTTCATCATTTGCCCTTTTGCTTGCTGTTTTGGCCAAATGACCTGGTTTCTGGAGAAGGCTGAAGATAGGCAGGAGGGGTGCTGGGTGGCATTGTGAACCTGATCTTGTAAAGCAAGGAGATTTCTTTTCCCTTCTGCGGATGTGCTCATACGTGTGATTTATTAATGTGTTTTCAGCCTACCGTAATGCAAACCTTTATAAATAGGCTAAAATAGGCTCATCACTTTTCCTGACACACCCAGGGTTTGGTTTTTCTTTTGCCTGTTTCATGAGTCAGACATTTTTCTGTTCCACTTCTGGGGAAGGTGTATGAGGGAGTTAGAGCAGTTGATAGTCAAACACACCGATGTGTGCTTAACCCATGGTAGGAGAAAGCCCCACTATCTACCAGCCAGAGCAGAAGAGAGATGATAAGAGAGCAATAATGTCTGTTCTGGCACTGCCTGGAGCTCTTTGTGATCTTGGGCAAGTTACTGAACCTCATAAATTCAGACTTGGGCTTGTTTTACAGATGATAACCACTTATCTCCTGAGAACGCCAGAATACTTAGCTCACTTTTGCTAATGCTTTGGGAAAAGGGGGCTGTTAGGGTCAGATACTAGCCTAGGCAAAGGAAGCAAAGGTCTTTGATGTAGGGAGAAACGTTGCCCCACTGATGGGTCTTTCAGAAGGTTCATATGCTGGGGACATGTTTGCTTACATCGTTCCTGTAGTTGCTTCAAAGCAAAGGGCAGAGACCTCTTGAGCAATCTCAGTAGTATTGGCCATGCTTGTTACTTACTCGCTCCTCTCTTTCGTTTGAACTCTTTGCCAAAAGTCAGAATCTCTCCCAGACTCTTACCCCTGAGTCTGACATCTCCTCAGATCTAGGGCAGGAAAACATCAAAGCAGTTGCCTTTTCGAAGAACAATCCCCAGGGTTTAGCAGGACGCTTGTTTGATCCTGTTAGATGAAAATGGATCATCAACTCTGTCACCTCACTTTACTGGCTGTGTTAGATATCTGGGGGAATTTCAAGAGAACAATCATTGGCTGCAGATCAGGACAGGGCCTTTTTGTCACCTTCCCTTGTGTTGGATTGAACGATCCTGTAGCTTTGCATAAGTTAGGGGCTGGTATTTCACATGTGCTTCATCCATGTTCCCGCGGGTGGAGCATATGGATCCATGATGTACCATTGAATCCATGATGTAACACTGGATCCATGATGTACTAGGTTAAGGAGACCATGTGTCTTGACTGAGGTTTCTCTAGTGTTTGTCACAGTGGAGGAGCTTTTGCTGCTGAACAGAAGAGTTGTTTGGTGGACTTCATGATAGGGAAGTGACTGACTTGAAGTGTTTCTCTGTAGTTGCTCACAGGCCGTGTTTGTTTTCTGCTTCAATCCTGGCAGTCAGCTGTTATTTTGCAGATGGGATTCTTAAGGAAATAGACAGAAAATAGTTTAAAAAAATAAAATGTAGCTTTCCTCATGCTTTTAAGAAGTCTTATTATGAATTTTTTTAACTTTGCATTCTAGCTTCTACTGCTTAGCATGAAGGAGAGCCAAGTTTGCAGCACTTGAGTCAGGCCCTGTAGGTAACACAGTGTTGTCAACAGGCTGCATGCAACTTGCTGCTTTTGTGGAGCTTTTAAACAAAATCAGTGTCTTTGAAGCTCCTTATTCTGATATCCTTAAGAAGATGAGCTAAGCAAGAAGGTGGAGGGATGTACACTTAACAGAATCACATTACAGGCAGGTTCCCCCAAAGCTGTACTGTCTCTGCTCTTCTCCCTTGAATATTTGAGGCTCCTACTGTGAGGGTGGGTGGAGTTTGTGCATTTGTTTTGTTAGGGATACTGAGATCCCTGCCACTGCTCATCCTATTGACTGGGGATGTGCATGTCCAATATTTCCAAGAACAGTAGAATTGGGTCTTCCTACCCTTACACTTTTCTATAGCATTGATATTAGTAAATCTATTCCTTCAGCTTTCACCCTCTTGCTAATAGATAGATGCCTGGTGCTGGAAGGAAAGGCATTTTCTCACTTTTCAGCTTCAGAGTCTCCCAGTTGTATTATTGAGGTGTAGCAGCAACATCCACGTGTGTTTTCTTCCCCTTCTTTACTGGTCTTTGATACCTTTCCAACTGCATTTTCTCTCCTTAGGAAGCCACACAGCCTTGTCTGACAATTTTGGTGCTACCCGCAGTGTCCAAATAGCAGTCTTGACCTTTCAATTAACTTCAGGATCGCCTCTTTCAGCAGACAAAACCTGTATACATGCCAAAAGCCTCAGAACAGCTTTGGAGGGTTGGCTGAAAGACCATGAAGATTAGGGACATATTTTCCCTTTTGTCAGGGAAATCAACAGCAAAGGGCCCCGACATAAGAACGAAACTTTCCCACTGACCGCAAATAGGGGCTTAAATAGAATTTTCAAGCCTTTAAAAATAAATCGTCATTTTGTATTTAATTAACCAGAGTTTCATGAATGTAGTAGTATGCTGAGGTCATGGGCAAAAAGAAGCTTTTCCAGTAATTAGTGCAGGGTCCATGCTGTTTTGGCAAAAACAGCCATGACGTCAGTCCGGGACTGGAACAAGAAACTGCCACACGGTGAACTTGAAACACAAACCTTATTATTGAAGGAGCATGTCTGACAAATACAAGTGCTAGCTGGGTTGGACACATAGTAAATTTTTCCTTTTAAAATTGCAAAAAGGTGTTGTGGGTTTTGTTTTTATTTTTTTTTATTTGTTTCCGGGCTAATGAAATTTGCTGCCATGCCAGGGCATCCTTTCTCTTGCCTCCCCTGCCTTAAATAAATAAATAAACTTAGAAGCCGTAAAACTTCCAACCCTTTTTGTTATGTAAATATGGAAAGTGGCCATTTCCATGATTTTATTTAGGAGAAGCAGCTTAGTTTTAGTTTTGTCATGTGAACCCAAAAGCAAAAGGCAGGTGCAGCAGTGAGATGAGGGGGCATGTACTGGGCATGCCCAGGCAGGTCACACTCTCGTAGCCATGGCTGCTTCTTTTTAGGTCTGTGTTTTAGGTGATATTGCAGTGTTTTATGTACAAGCCAGCTGTTGTGACAGCCTTCAGAGTACACAGATTTGCAGCACTTGGGTTCTGGTTTCTGGTGAGTTACTGGAGTCCTGTGGAGCTGGAAAAGTTTGACTGTATAATCTGACTGTTTGGATTCTGATTTCCATTGGTATGTTTGAAAAGTCTTAACTTGAATTACTTAACTCTCTCGAGTCTCCTTGTGGGTGTCCAAAAATAGTATTTTCAGGTAAGAGTGGCTTGTATTTCTTGGTTTATATTGTGCAACTTGTCTATGTTTGGCACATCTTTTCCTTTTAAAGGCTGTAAGAAATACTTGTTTCTGATTATACCTAAAAATTCCTAAGATAATGTACAGACTCTTAAATGTCAAAGGTGTTGCTCAGTTCTGTTTCTTCAACACATCTGATTGTTCTATTTACCATTTCCCTTCATTTTATTTTGCAGGCCATGACTGCTGTGAGACAGTGAAGGTGGCACTTTGTGCCTCTAGAGAAGGTCATCCCGTTTTGGTTGTGGCAGAAGAGACTTTCCAGTTTGTCCAGGATGAAGCCTACGATGCTGCCCAGTTTTTGGCCACCTGTGCAGGCAATCAGCAGGCGCTAAACTTCACCCGGTTCCTGGACCGGTCAAGACCACCTGCTGCTGACGTGGACTTTTTGGATGAGAAAGTGGCTTTGGCATTTCGACACCTGAAACTGCCGGCGGAATGGAACGTGCTGGGAGCAGACCAGTCCCTGACCGGTAAGGACCTGCGGGGCACATATGAGACACGTGGACTGGGAGAAAGGGGAAAAAAGCCTGGGAGAAAGGATTGCTTGCTTTGGGAAGCCTCCATGTGCCTTTCAAATACGTTTTGGCCACTGTGCTTAGAGACGGGATGTGCTCCAGCCTGTCACTGCTACATCTGCATCCTGTGCTTTGCACTTCAGCCACCTTAAAATATACAAGGCACTGGTGTTTGCTCTGTTTCTTCTCTTATGAAATAGATCAAGTTGTTGTAAATGGTTAATATTTTAGCATATACCCAGAAGGGTTTTATTTGGTGTGTATGCAGTGGTATGTGTGTCAGCATCAGGCTCCTGAGGTTTCCTGAAAGAAACCTATGTGGACCAAGTCTGATGGTCCTGCAAGTATTATCCTTGTGCCATGAAGGCTGTTGGTAAGTGCTGGAGCTTTTGCTTAAGTGTTGTTTTTATAGCACAGGTGCAAAGTGACTGCAATGTGTACAGTAAATCTTAGTTTTCTTGGAGAAGCTAAGGCTCTTCGCCTTAGGATTTGTATTGCATTCCTGGTTGTACTCTGGCTGGACAAACACCCCTGTTCCCCAGAATAAGCCTGGATGTTTTTAAGAATGAAGGAGTGTGAAGGTGGGAAAGCCTGACCCTTAACCAGAGCAGTGAGGGCTACTGATATCTTATAAATCAGCCTAAGGCTCTCAAAAAGTCTTGGGAAAGTACTGAAGCAGAAATACCAAAGTGTTTGGGATGCTGTGATGTGTCCATGTCCTTGGAGTTCTGCTGTGTCACAGGGGAGCTTAAAGAATCGTTTTGAGGCACTAGGTGGTTAGTTCCAGTGTGCATGAATTCTTACAAAGATTTTTTCATGGCATTTTGGCAAATAATTTCATGTAAGGTGGCTGTGTGCCTGGAAGTCATGGTCCTGTAGGGCTCTGTATGATAATGAACCTGTGGAGCATCCACTGAATCTACAGGGAGGAGGGGGAGCTCTGGAGTGCTGACCTCCTGAATGCTGAGCCTTTTGGCAGCTTGTGGTGACTTTTTGTAGACAAAAGTATAAGTAGATAAATATAACTGCTTTCATCCAAGAGTACAGGGGCTATAAAATACGTTCCTTTGCAGTGAGTCCTTCAATAAATAGCTGTGAAAGAGCAGTTTATTGGCGTTTTGGTCTGTCTCTTGTTTTCTGATCAGCTTTTTTCTAGAGGCAGGTTTATCTGGTAATTTTTTTTGCAGTGAGATAATTATACATAAGGAATTTGAGGGAAATTTTATGCTTGTAACAGGAAATATTTGCATGTGTAAGCATCCTTTTGGTCAGAAAACTCTGTTTTGCTAAAGCGAGATGGAAGAGATGTCCCTGATTTATGATGGAGCAATAGATGAGAAGAACATCTGTGGTAAAACGTAGCACCCTGTACTGCTGCTTGTGGGTTAATTTGTGTGTGGGAGAGAAAAAAGCACAGCAAAGAAACTGTGGGAGCATTTGAACAATTACGTGTTCTGGCCAGTGTCCCCCCAGTGGGACACCATGTCCTGCGCTGCGTCACTACCTATGAACAGCTATTCCAATTCATATTTCACATTGTGCTAAATGTCAGCACCAGATACTTCAAATAACCTTCTCTAAGGAGAAAATAGTATAGAAATGAGAACAAAAGAAAATGTCAGATCCCTTCTTGAAAGATTTTTAAGGCTGCCTCTAAGCTGGCATGTCTCTATGGGCTCTTGTGGATTGGGAACAAAACGCTGCTGTTCAGCAAACCCTGTGAAGGCAGGAGAGGGCCGGGAGCCTCAGCCAGTGCCCCGAGTGCCGCAGCGGGATGGGGCTGCGGCTCAGAGGTGGCTGTCAAGCATGTTTAGAAGTTGCTTTTCGAAGGACTGAAGTAGCAGTCCAGCTTTTACAAAAGCAGTTAGGAGGGACCTGTGGTGCTTTGGTCTTTTCTCCAGTAACGGTGGCTGTGTTTTTTGCTGTTTGGTTCGTTCTTAGTATGTTGTGCATCTGACTTCCAAGTTGACTTTCCTCTCTATTTTTCTCATTCTCCCTGAACCCACCTGCTGTGTAGAACATGAGGTTCAGAATCCTGCTGGTTATTTGCAGAAGATCTCGGAGAACACTCTGAGCTTTTAATTTTTAGCTTAGAGAAGAGGACCCCAGAGAGACTTGCATTAAGTATCTCTTCATCCACAGATATAAAATATTTTACAGAGGTCCTAGATGTTGGGACTTTGGGAGAGTAAAATACCTTCCTGACCCCAGTTGGAGCTATGCTAGCAGAAGCAGGGATGGGAGCACCTAAGTTTCCTGACTTTGGAGGTGCTTGGGCTCTATCTTCCCTTGCTGAGGCCGAAGGAGATGGAGACAGCACCACTGTGCATGGTGTCATGATCCTGCTCAGCTGGAGTGTGGCAGGGCAAGGCAGGACACGTGTGTATGTGTGAGAGGGATCTGCACTGCAGGTAAAGAGTGGGTCTGAACCATTTGGGCAAGTGTGTCCTGACCTACTCCCTGCACAGCTGCCGTCCCTGGTGCTTCTGTGCTGGGGCAATTGTCCCCCAAGGACAGAGCTCTTATCCCAGCCACATATTGTCCCTCTGCAATGAAGGGTTCCTGGGCCTTCCTCTTAATTATCTGTCCATCCATATGAGCTTGAACAGCACCTGCAATTTCAGAATATCCATAATTAAGGATTACTCTTGTTACCATGGTATTCCAAACACAGCATTACTTTTAGGTGCTGTGTAATGGTGTCCATCTTCATTGCCACTGTAAACACACTGTAACTTTCTAAAGAACATAGTTGTTACTACTGTCAAAAGTAGGGTTATTTACTGTTTAAAGTGGCAATTAAAGGTAGCTGTTCAAATGGAACAGATTGTTACACTTTGTATCTATAAATCAAAATTTAATATGTATTGTGGGGATCCATGCAAAATAAATACAGGACTGTGATTTTCTGTTTTAAATGACTAAAAATAAGCTGACTAGAAAACTAAGAGTATTCAAAGGTATGAGTGATGATTATGGCTTGTTGTGTTGCAGAAAAAAGAATTAGAGACTATCCAAGGCTCAGGTATGAAAAGCTTAGAGAACTTAATCTCCGAGTTAATTATCAGTATAAAACAAATCACTTTCAAAATTTCTTTTAAGTAACAGTCTGACAAAACCCGAGGAAACCGTAGTTTCATCTTGCTCATTAAAAGTAAGTGGTGAAACCCAAACAGTTCAGTTTCAGTGGTGTGAGCTTTCTGAGATGGTGCTTCCAAGAGCTAGTTAATGTTGGCAGAAGGTTGCAGTGATCATCCGTGGTGTGGAGCCATCCTCTGGGAGCGTAAGGATCAGCAGTCCCTTTGATCAGCTTCGAGATAGTCAGCCATGATTGCAGGCAGATAACCAGGAGACCATCTCATTAGGTACAACACTTAACAGCTCGTTAACTTTAGGAATGGCAGTTACTGTCTTGAATATGTACAGCTTCCCAGAAAGGCTGTGGAATAAATACCTGGGTGCAGAAAGTGCTGCTTGAGAAGTGAAACCTGTGAGCTTGCCAGGTAGGAGGGTGGGTAGAGAGGGAAATGCTTTGCCCTGCTTTGAAATAGTGTGAATGGATTTGGGTTACTAGTTGAATAACTACATACAATCGTGGTAGAATTGCAGTGTACAGTGCAACACAAGTGTCACTGTGGTTAGAAATTATGACTTTGTGTTTGTTACAGAGAGAGTTTGTCTGAAGAGAGAAAGTAATCAAAAAAGTACCTTATATTTAAGAAGAAAAACAAAACAAAATAAAATAAAATAAAAACAAACCCCAAAAAACAAAAAGCAAAACTAACCACAACTTTTAAAAGCTTTCAGAAATAGTTAGAAGGAAATGCTATGATTGGGAGCTATCTTTTTTCCATGGGAGAATATTAAAGTTAAAAAGTTTATTAAATTTTTCAGACATCAAGCTTTAATCTGTTCTTCAGCTGCCCTCTTTTTATAGTTTCTTATTGAACCGTTTCAGTGTAATAGTTATAGGTGTTCTATTAGGTGGGTTTCATACCCTTTCAGTCTATTGCTCACTTTCTCTACCCTCTGATAAAGGACTGTATGGTATAAAGTGATAAGATCTTTTCTGTGCCAACAGCACAAAGCTATAGATCAGCTGTTGTTCTCGTTAAGATGTAAAAAATCTTTTCCATACCTAAATTTAATTCCTTTGTGGTGGAAAATGGGAAGCAGAAAATGGTTCTGGTTCAGGCAGTGTCTGAAATGTACTGCTGAGTACTCAGATGTATTGCTCAGTCTGTGGCTGAGAAATCATTGGCATGAGAAAGTTTCTCTGCCCTTTGATATTAGTGGAAAAGGGGTTGTGAAGATCTTTTCATGTGCTTTGAAAAATGTATTGTTTATAAGATTAAAAAGGAATTACCCGCACATTTTTTCATTAACTGAACTTGTAACTCCAAACACAGCATCTCTGCCCTGCCTTGACCTTTCTTCAGTGCTGTTGTCTTCTGGAACCTTCCTCTAAGTCCTCAGCATTAAGTCATCACTTGTTGCTCCTTTTGCTCTCTGTGTTCCTCAAGAATTGATCTCACCAGTGAGAACATTGCCAGCAGTTAAAAAGATTTTGAGACCAGATTTGATGGTAGATTTCAAAATTGACAAGTATATGTGATTTTGGGTGAGAACCATGTGAAGGTTGCCATCACAGGAAGACTAGTAAGAGGTGCTGGCTGGTCCATGGTTCTCTGTTCCTGGATGAGATGTCTCAGGGCATGGAGGATAAACAATGAGTTAAGTGTGGGTTGCTCTACATGAAGAGCAAGCAACTTTTAAAAAGGAACAGTATTTTCATTCTGTCATTTAATCAAGATCAAAATGAAAGCTTTTACTTAGAGAACGTTCTGTGTGTACTTTGTGTCATACCCAAACTTTTTTTTTCCCCCTTCAATTCTTACTTGTATTCTGCTAACAACACCTTAAACCTTCATCCTTTACTGTTGGCAAAGTAGATTTGACAGTCTTCTGTGGAAATTTTGTCCTTAGTTACCCAGATAAACTATCCATGTATCACAGCTGCAAAAAAGCACATAAAAATAATGTATCTAAAGTCTTATGTTTTGCCAGCTGGATTAGAGTGCCCTGCCATTATGGGACAATAATCATATGTTTCAACTCTTGGCTATTACTAGGAAATGAGAAAGGAACAAAACAACCTTGTCCTTTCCAGTATTGTGTGTCTTGTATTTCCACAATTTCCTAGTTACAAGAAGCCTTTTTGTTGACATTCAAAGGACAGCCATTTTAAGATGAGGAGCTTGTGGTTGATCTGTGGCAGGAGAAGGAGCTCTGGCTATTGCATATTAAAGCTTTTGTTTTTCCATGCCTGGGACAGACGTTTTGCACCACAAGACGACTCTAAAATAATGGACTGAATTTCCAACATTTTGTGCTACAAGCTTCACTCCTTAAGAGATAGGAAGGCTGGAAGGATCTATCAGTCTTCCTTTCCATCCAGCAACACTTCCGTATTTGATGCGGACCAGCTCTTGTCTGCCTCTGAGCAGCATCATACACCCACAGATATATTTTTCATTGTGTATCAGTAGTTAATCCAGCCCACAGATGGCATACTCCTTATAACTGCAGCCATGCAAGTTTTGCACACTCCAAAACCTTCTAAAGCCAGTGCCTGGGGCCCCTGCAGTTGTTGTATGTACGGTACTTTGTCTCTTTGCTGCCATCATCTGTGCCCATCTGTTAGGATGGCCTCATGCCAGTTTATATTTTAGGCAGATCTTTCCAAATAGGCCTGGATAGTGAGTTTGTGTGTTTAATATGTTCTGGATGGCAACACGCCATGTCTTCTTGTACAGATCTTCTGTGCACGTCGCTGTTGCTCAAAGGCATCAGGGCAGGGCTGTGCTCAGTTCAGTCGTGTTTGTAGATGCATCCACGCAAACGCTGGGACTGCTGTGCTCACTAACTGGATGATAAAGATTGTTGAAAAAGAATGGGGAAAAGGTGGAATTTAGAAGAGCAGATTATATCACATGTGCAATGAGGAGGGGGCATTTCATCTATGAAAGGATGAGATAGAGAGTAGCAACCATCTGGATCAGGGACAGGATCCGTATTTGCCTGCATCTTGCTAGAACAGATGTGGTCAGGCCAGTGTAACACATCCTATATTCAGATGGCAGTCGTTTGCACTAACAGAAGTGCTTTTATGCCTCCTACATCTCAGTAGGAAGAGTTGCACAGTTTCAGTTGTGCTTGGTGACTCCACTAGTGTGTTTGTACAGGTAGTGTAGGAGTGTTGTGCAAGTTGAGTGAAACCTTTGGCATCTGTTTTCACTCTGGCTAAGATCCACATGTATCAACACTTTCTCCTTTTTGCAACCTCATCAGTAGCCTTTTCTTTGTCTGTCCATATGGTGTGTTACTTTTCATTATTCTTTAAGTCTGAGACTGTGACAACGATGGATTAAGTACCTTGTTGCATTGTTTATTTCTAAAGCATTACACTTCATAGCACTTTATACCAAAATCTTTGCCACTGCTATCCCACAGGCTGAGAATTTATTTCTAGGTGAGCTCAGCTATTCACTGATCAGCTGGAACCTCCATTCAGATATGCTCATGTATTCAGGACATCATGCTTTTGCTTTATGGTAATCAGGAGGAGGTTGGGGGGAAGAATTGGTTTGTAGCCCAGAGAACTAATTTGGAGTAATTTGGAAGGGATATGGTGCCAGAAAGCTTTTGGTTCTTGAGTGCTAATTAGTTCTTCAGGAATTGATCCAAAAAGTTGGGAAAAATTGTGCGTCAGGCAGGGGAGAACTCCCCATTTCTGCTTTGTTTTTCACTGAAGGTCTTAATGATGTCCCTTAAGAAAGCAAGCAAGAAAGAAAAACAACAGCACTTTGAAGAAGTAATTTCTCTTGGGGCATACTTCTTGAGGAGAAAATGCTTACCTAAATCCTAAAGCCATTATACACTTGCATTTTTAAACCTGCCATATAGGTTTGGCTGGCAACCAAATTAATAACCCAATAAATCACTGCTATGATATTAAAGGTATTACACCAGTTGTGCTCATTGGCATGGTTTACTGAGACCCAGTTAGTGCTTTGTTGTTGTTGCTGCTGCCAGTCATTACTGAAATCCTTTGTTAATTATAAGAACATTGTTTTTTTATTTCTCACAGTTTTTTTAACCCAAATGCTTTTGCCCTTCATATAGAAGTAACAGGCTTTGATCTGCAAATACTGTATTTCAGCAGTGCATCTGGAGCTCATTTCTGGCTGAAGATTTTCAGAGCCTTGTTTTAAGGCTGCAGCTTTTAGAGTAGGGGGATACTTTTCTGAGATGAAAGCTCAGGCTCAAGAGTGACTTTTATCAAATTAGAAGGTCATGGTTATTAAACAAAAAAGCAGCAGAGATTGCTAGTTTAAAAATGCTGCTCCTCAGAATGATGGAGCTGAGAAATGCTGGTGTGAGGCATAATCAAACCAGCACTTTTATTTACACAGTGTATTTAACTGTTGTCTTTTAAAACTGTTTTAGATTTGTGATTCAGATGTAATTGATTTTCTTCATGCCTTGGGACAAATCAGCATCCTGTTAAAAAACAAAACTTCTCTGTTCCTAAAACCTGGTTCTGGGTTGTGAGAAGGCTTGGACATCTAGGAAAACTCACCTGAGCATGCCAGGTCCTGTTTGGAAGTGCTGCAATTTGGTGGTTGCTATGGCTGTTGATGAAATGGTGTTTTTTTTCACATTGACTTCTGTGGTCAGTCTCACCATGAGAGTTCCTGAGCCCTTCGAGCGTACCATAGCATGTCCCTCACTTTAAAGTATTGGTATCTCCTGGATATTGGCAGCCAGTGTGCTTTTCCAGGTGCTGCAGGTTTCTCAGCTTTTGAGCTGTCAGCTCCATGCTGGTCATTGTGTGTGGTGTGGTTGGGAGGTGCGGATGTGGTATCCACTGAACCCACAGCCTACAAATCGCCATTTCTTTTTTCTTCTTCTTCTTTCTTCCCAGAGAACATCCCTCGGGAGACTCTGATGCATTTTGCGGTGAGGCTAGGTCTGCTGCGGCTGACATGGTTTCTGCTCCAGCAGCCAGGTGGAAGAGGAGCTCTCAGCATCCACAACAACGAAGGGGCAACGCCGGTGAGCTTGGCCTTGGAGAGGGGCTACCAGAAGCTGCACCAGCTTTTGACCGAGTAAGGATGATTTGATGGTTCCTCTGCTAGTTTTCTGTTCTGTGTCACACTTACCTTTGCTGTATGTTCTAAAGGCAATTTTGCTTTTACCTTTCTTGCTAGCAACAATGGGAGCAGGTTGTTAGGGATTAGGGGAAAGGCAATAATATTCTTGTGTTCTCCTTGCCTGTTTTACAGTGTTCTGTTGCCAGCTGTCCCTTAAAGCCCAAAACAACTCACTGTAATACTGATTAATTAAGATGAACCTTATGCAAACACAAGTGAAAAAGATCTTCTTTGAACATGTACAGCTGCCCAAGAGAGGGATACTGGCAGGCTTCATGGTGGTGGTTGACTGTTGCATTTTTTGCATTTGTTCTTCAGAGTTTTGGAGGGGTTTTGGTTCAATTAAATAATGATAATTGTATTGAAGTAAGGCAGCATCTTGTAGATAACAGGTACCAGTGCCAGTATACATAACTGGCCAAAACTTGATTATAGAGCTCACAGCGAATACTGCAATCTGAGTATGACTAGATCTGGTAATTTAAAAAGAAATGAGAAATAAACAAAACTATTACAACAGCTATTTATTCATGTATTTGGTGGAGTATTCCATAACTAGTTCCAATACTGGAGTAGCAATTCTTGCACAGTGGAACAAAAACAGAAGAGCACTTGGATTACATGGCATTGCCCTGTGCCATTCACTTAAACTGATGCTACTGGTATAATCCAAGGGATTTCTCTGATGACCCTTAAGGTTCATCTTGGAAAAGAAGACACTAGGAACTTCAGTAATGTTACCATCAAGATCCTGAAACCTATTCTTTGTATATACTTAAGCTGTTAATTATTGTTAGTTTTCCTCTTGGACCGCTGAGTGGAAATACAACAGATAAACATCTGACAGCCATGCCACATATCCCAGGACTCTGAAACCCTTGCTGTCTCTCTGAAGCCCTGCAAACAGAAATGTGTGGATGCTGGAAGTCATGTTTCCCTTTTTCAATGGGTGGGACAGTGGTGAAGCAGAGTGCTGTGAGCTTGGGGCTGGTGGGGCGGTGGGAGCACCACGTGCCACGGGAAGCACTGCAGCCCTTCCACGCGGGAGGGTGGCGGCTGCAGAACGGACACAGCCTGATTTCCCTCATTCCCCTGTTTTTGTTTTCTTAGCACTTTCTGCAATGAGAATGGGATTGAAACTTGAAAATCCCTGTTGAGAGGAGAAATACTGAGTTTCAAAATACAGAAAAGCAGCCAAATTCCACAGAGAGAATATATATATAATTTATGTGCTATCCAAACACAGTGGATACTGTACAGCCTCTTGTCTGCACTCTGCTTCTGCAGAGTATGATCCACGCACGCAGATTTGGCACCCAGCTCCTACCACTCAGCAAAATACAGAGCAGCAACGCATGTTAGTGAGAGCCCCTACAAAGGAGTAATTATTTTTACAAGTAATTAAGCTGCACATCACCAAATAAGTGAATGCAGTGTGTTTTGTGATGCATTATCCTTGGGGGGATTTTATTGTTCACTTACTTGCTAATTTGCAGGACCGTGCATTTTACAATGATTCTCCCAGCCAGCATTGGGAAGGGGTGAAATTTTGCTGTAATTAGGATACAATAATTAAAAAGCAGACACAGAATGTTCTCTGTTGTTGCAGTTTTGCCAGACTTTGGCTGCAAAGCAACTTGATTCAGCTGCAGTGTAAATATTTTTCTCAAAAACTAATTGCATGGGTGACATTTTGAATTTCTGTTTATTAGATTAGCTTTTACTTTTCAACTGTTGCAGTTCTTCATGTAAAAAAAATAAAAATGAAAGAGGCTTCCAATTTAAATTTTGCAGCCCTTGAAGTACTCCTTTCTCTAGTCTCAAGCTTGTGTACTTCTGCATCCTCTGGCAGGAAAGGTGCATGTGCTGTTTCTTTCCAAACTGAGGAGCTGTGATAGAGCACGCTTAGGTCGATGGAGAGCAGGATGCCAACAGCAGGGTTTATTCTTCAGTTCTGTATCATTCCTGAGGGTTCTTCATTTTGTCTTTGAGATTAAAACTGCACAGTAAACATTGTCCTGCAGTGCAGATGGAATAGGGCAGTGGATAAGGGTAGAAGTGTTTTAGGAAAAAAAATATATAAGGATTTTTTCTAGGAATGTTCTTGTTTGCAAATAGCTTTGTTAATAGATTTTCTTTTTTAAAGAAAAAACGTAAATGCAAAGTTTAAATACTATTTAAATAAATTATCTTCACTTGCTAAGCTTTGTAAGCTAAGCAGGTTGCATAGCCCTCTGGGTTTCAACAATTTCTGAGCCTGATGGAAGCAAATTCCAAAGTGAAGGGTCTTTCCTTCGAGCCTGCTACGTCCCTGCGTTGGAGCTGGGCAATGCTGGTGTGGGCTGTGGGCAGAGGACTGGCTCTGAAGAGGTAGCACAGTTTATTAAACAGGGGTAGTATTCTCCTTGTCAGTAACTTGGCTTCTGCAACAGGGCAGCTGCAGTTTGCAGGAGTTGATGTTTTTGAGTGCAGTTCGGTGTAGTAATATAATCTGCCTGCCAGCTCCATGTTCTTTAGTGCTCTCAAAGTCAGGCAAGGAAAATGGCTCCAAGAAATAGCAAGTGGGCAGAATTTCAGAGAAGTTGGAAGTGCTGCGTTGTAAAACATAGAAATACAGATTTTATTTCTAATTTCATTTCTGCAGAGCAGAGTGCTGTCTAGTAGCCCCAGAGTGTCGTTTTCTTTCTGTGAAGCCAAATGTTTGTTGTTCATTTACAGCTGAGAGAGATTTATATCCATTGAAAAGGAGAGTAAGAAAAAAAGTAAAGCCCATAAAAGCACTCTTAGATTTTTGAAATCCCTGCAAACAAGACTTTACAGACTGTAACAGTCTTTGTCTCTCAGTTTTTTACTGTAATACTAGTTATGCTTTTGCTGGTTTCCCTACTTGCTTATTGCTATAAAGCATTTCTGTGTAGCTCAGGAATTGTTCTTCCTTCAGATCTCCCTGTAACAACCAGGTGGCTCAGCATGTGAACCTAGAAGTCAGTACAAGTCTGTATTTCCAGAATTAAACTGATTTAATTAAAACACATGAGGAATAACTCCCTGGTAGCAGAAGGGTTTTATGAACATTTTGCAATCCATTGTTATCACTTGCTATTGTTCTGATTTTACATAAGTAATTGATGAAGTCTGTGCTGTAATCTGTAGTGCCTCTCAAATGAGGAAGCTTTTTCAGTAACTTTACTACTATAATTGAATACACTTTTCTGCTTTTCTGAGCCAGAGCTGCAAGAGGATTTGCCTGGTACCACCTTTCTTTACACTCCAATTTAGAAAGTCCTTTAACACTATGATTTCCAAAACATCCGGTTCATGTTCGGCAGAGAGTTTAAGTGTGCTCTTAAAAGGAAGCATTTCTTATAGTGCCAAATTGGGATGATAGTCAAAAGGTTGATATTTTAAATTGAAGTTGTTCCACTGAATTCAGTTTTTGCATGGGCAAAGAGAAGTCTGTGGTGCAGATGCTTTCTGAAGTAGTTTACTGGGGCTGAAAACATTGCTGACTTCAGTGTCTGGTCATGGCAGCTCTATGGAAGCAGGGTGCTTATACCCCTGGGAACACATGGGCTGAGCCCCCTTTACCTGTGTGCTCTTACTACAAGCTGGGAATTGTGTGAGGCTCTGAATCTTCCCTTGTGGGATTGTTGGCTTGATTTAAGTTGCCTGTGCTATGGCTGTGTTGTGCAGTTGCCACCAAGTCCAGCATCCTGTCCCAGTAGGCACCATTCCTTGTTTATCCCTGATCACAGTCTGTCTGATCTAGTATTTTCCCTGTGATGATATATTAACAGGAATCATTCCAAATTTTAAAAGGATGTAAGGTTGAAAATTCAGTTCACTTTAGTTTTTATTTACCTAGCAGATAGGAGCATCTAAATCCTACTATTTCCTAGGTTTTCACTGCAATCATAATACTAGGAGCTTTGTTTAATTAAAGAAGAAAAAAAATTTAGTTGTTGTTGGTTTTTTTTTCTTTATCACATAAATCTAAGTGCTGATGCTTTCAGGATAAACCCACAGCTGTTGTCAGACTTGCAATAACATCATAAGAGCTGGCAACACTACTGAGTTTGTTTTGTCTCAGCTGATTTCAGCTCAGAAATCTGGAGGGGATATCCCCAGGAAGTAACACCTTGAGTTCCCACACTGCCTTCCTTCCCAATTTGTAAAACTGTGGGATAAATCTTCCTGACTTGAGGTTCTGCTTAACCCACTGAGGCTTTTTCGTTCTTTTTCTGATCTCTTCACCCTCCTCTTCCTCTCCCCTCCATTGAAGACCTGTTACGTCTGTACCAGAACACACACCTGCCGGGAGCACTGGCACCACTGAATTTCAATTTCAAAGCTGGGCTACTGAGCACCTTTTCTGCAACTTTGGAAGGGGGCCAGGGGTTTTGTTCTCCCTTTCTCACGTATCTTTCCTCTTCTTAAAAAATATCTTGTCCATGTCTGTAGGCAGCTGGGAGTCACACTGTGTGGGTGCAGGCTTTCCTCTCCCTCTTTCTGCTGCTGTCTGGCCTGGGGCCATTCTCTGCTCCTTCAGGAGATTCAGCACATGAGTACCTGAGAAGAGATTCAGCACACAAGTACTGTGCGGCTCCTTATCCTCCAGGGATGAGTTGATTTGGACTATACTGGAAATTTTAAAAAACATAGTTTTAAAGTTTTAAAGCCCTTTATAGATTGTGACAGGTCGACAGCTTGAATATGAAAAGAAAATGTGGTTTTTGTAAGCAGAAGTGGTGATTTGATCTGTCTGGGCTGAGTGAAAGTGGCTGATGGCAGGAGGGGTGGGTGTGTTTATGGTCTTGCAGGGGACTGTGCTTGCATGTCATCTTGCTGCAGATTTTGAGGCTGTTGAAGTCACCGAGGGTCCTTTAAGGCTCAAGTTGTGTAAGCTGCTTGGTGGGTACTGATTTGAAGATGCTCGTAAGGGTACTTGAAGCTGATGAG